TTCCTCCTGCTTTGTGTGCATAGGGAGATGCAGCCCTGAATTTCAGAACAATAGATGGGATAGGAGCCAAGCCAGAAGCACTGAATATGAAACTTAGGTGGGCTGCAGTATCCTTATTTACAGCTGGATCTATAAAGGAACAACAAGGTGGCAGGGATTTTTTTTTTTTTTTTTTTTTTTGAGACGGAGTTTTGCTCTTGTTACCCAGGCTGGAGTGCAATGGCGCGATCTCGGCTCACCGCAACCTCCGCCTCCTGGGTTCAGGCAATTCTCCTGCCTCAGCCTCCTGAGTAGCTGGGATTACAGGCACGTGCCACCACCATGCCCAGCTAATTTTTTGTATTTTTAGTAGAGACGGGGTTTCACCATGTTGACCAGGATGGTCTCGATCCCTTCCTTGACCTCGTGATCCACCCGCCTCGGCCTCCCAAAGTGCTGGGATTACAGGCTTGAGCCACCGCGCCCGGCGGTGGCAGGGATTTTATATCTGAACAGAATGAGGGAAAACAAGACATTCTAAAACACTTTTCTTTCCAAAGAAATGGAGGGACACACACATGTGTACACACATACAAACACAAGGAAAGGTGTGTCTATAGTTATCACTGATTTCTGGCTCCAAAGATGGCTGGAAATTGCTCATAGTGTACAGTTACATAGTCGTCTAAGCAAATTTGGAATTTCAGTATGGTCACAACATTGCTGCTATCACAATCCCCAAATTTCTGTACATGTCCCTAAACAAGTCTCCTTTTCCTGGCTGCTCAATTAACCCTGCATCAAATGACGAGATCGCAGACAGCATAAAAGGTTAAACAAACAGTTAGTGTTCCCCTCTAGCTACTAAACACACATGCAATCTCTTAACTATTTGGAAGCTATAAAAATGGGAAAATTAAGAGGGCAATATGAAAATGCTGATTATTCCTGCTTCAGGGTCAAGCAAAATGTTTCTTTTCTTTCTTTTTTTTTTTTTAATCTATCCAGTAAGCAAAATGTTTCTAATAAAACAGCACATCTTGCCTCTATGAAGGTCAATAACATGTAAGGAAGTTATTTGCAAACAGGCTTCTATGTTTCATATTTCCCTTACCCTATGAAGGAAGCCTGGCTTCTAGCTAATGGGACATCCACTTGGCTCATAACTTTATTGATTTTTACTTTTGTGGAACCATAAATATTGACAACCATCTCAGCAAAATGCTGGTACCACATCTGTCCATTCCTCCCTCTGGCAGACTGACATGGGCCATTCTATATGCAAATCAGAGTCCAGTTCTTTGGAAATTACGAATGCTGATCCCAGGAGGATGATATTCTTGTTGACACATCAGGGAATCTCAAAGGCACTGCTTGCAAGGTTTTGTCAGGACTTCACCTGATTCAGAGAGGAACTCTTCACTTCATCACAAAATGAAAGATTATGTGAAGCTTTCTAAGGGGGTAAAAAGTACACAACAACTTTTAAATGCTCTTGCCAAGAGACATCCCAGTGAATTAGAATATAATCCTTCTTCACTGTCTAATCAATCTCTTCCTTCCACAGTCCAAACACGGGGCTCCCCCGGGGTGGATGGTCCATGTTAGACACACCGAAATTCATTATCTCATCTGCCTGGTGCCACTGTTTCCAATAAAGTGTAATTATGGTGTTATTGAGCTCTTTCTCACTTTCTCAAAGCCATGCTATAAACTTTGGGTTTGTGAGCAGTTACTGCTGACGGTCTTCATTAAGTTGAATTGTCTCAGAACAATGTCTACTTAACCAGCAAGGTGCCTACTAATTTTCTTTTTTAGAATTTGTATTAATTTAACAGGCACTGAGTGACTCCATGTCTCAGACACTACACAAACACAACATAGCGTTTCCTCTGGTTTCAGATGGTCAAGTAGCCAGTGAATGGGATAGCCTGGTCCAGAAGATCCTCCCTCTCCCACTCCAACACTGCCCATCTGGGCTGGCTATCTCCCTTGTGGCAGCACTCTGCACTTCCCACATATAACAAGGGGATTATTGTATTTATTTTAATAGTGCACTGTTATAAGTAGCAAATGTAAGGTGACTTATTATCGCCTCTGTCACTGAAGACACCTAAATTCTTTGAGGCAGGGGCTTGTTCACTGTTGTCCTTTCCACCAGCGGCTTGGACAGTGCCAGGCATGTGGTAAAATGCTAATTAACGAATACTTCTTGAGGGATTCGAAGGATGGCTGAGCACACATCACATCATTTCCATGTACTTCTCATCATGCCCAGTAGAACTGCTGGCCAGAAATTCAACATGCTCATAGATCCAAATAGCAGAAGAGAGAAAAGAATTATTTTACTGAGCACCTACTATGTGCACAGTTTCAGCACTGCACAGGACATGGAGAGGGCCTTTTGAATCATAAGAAAGACTTCATTTTTACAGATTTTGCTGAATAAAGCTGATTTTCAAAGAGAAAAATTATAAGAATAAACAAGTATGATATAAAATAGAGGAAAAGTATCTGTAATAAATCCAAGATAGTAGGATTTCTCAGGGGGGGAAAAAAATCAAATCCAATTAGGTTATTTTCAGATTGCATTTCCATTTCCTTTCTGACACAGATTTCTTTACCTTAGGTCTTGACTATATTTTATGTCCCACATCAGTCAAATCATCTTCAGGGAAACAGTGTCCTCAGCTCCTCCTGTCTGGCTTTGCAACATTATAAGGAGCATGGAGTGGATTTCCTCTCTGAGGCAGCCAATTTCCTAAGCAATTAAATGCTGTTTATATTCCAAACTCTAAGCTTGGGTTGAAATTGTCAAGCTTCATATTACCTGACTCTTGCCTAAGATGTATCCCCATCTAGTTCATTCTACTGTAACAGCCATCTATTAAAATTTCCAATCTGTTCTTTCCTCAAGGGATCACACAGTACTTGGCAAAGATACAGCTTCTGAATTCCGCAAATTATACTCATCTATATAAATATATGTTTTTGAAATGGCAAGGCTTGCAAATTACTTTACCAAATTGACATCCCAATCTGTTATCCTCTAAAAGGAGAGGCAAATGCCACGTACTTCATGCGTGTGGAGACACTTCTGTACTGGATTCTTAAAAACAACATAACCAGATGATACACTTTAATGAAACTGCTCCATGAGGTCACAGATCCAGGTGCCAGTTTTTGTCACTTCTAGGCGTGGACAAACTGAATCCAGTTTAGTCTGTGTAGATCATAATCTGATACCACACAATATATTGGATATTAAAAAAAATTATTGTTCCAGTGAATATTCCTTGTTGAGAACCTTGATGTGTCTCATTTTGGCCACTCCTTATGGTTTCCAGGCTGGATGGAAAAGTGAGATGATGTCTGTATCAGCACTGCATATGCTTTTTTTTTTTAAAGGGACAGCCACAGCCTATGTATTTACATCAGGAAGACATGACTTCTCAAAGCAGCAGAACACATCACAGGAGCATCAGCAGGAAGCATTCCTTGGTTATGGTGTGGGCATTTCAGTGGCAACTGCAGTTGATTAAGGATTCTCAAAGCCCTGGATGGAGGATGAAGATTGGAAGCATAGTGCCCTCACCCCCACTTTTTTTTTTTTTTAAGCATAGAATGTCAACTTCCTATCTTCCTAAAATAGGTGTTAGGCAGCTTTTCATGCATTTTTATTTTTAAGTGGAAATATCCAATCCACTTTATACACTGGCAGCAATACACCAGCCATGTTCTAAAACACTTGAATGATCAGTCACATCCCTCCTCTTATCAGAAATCTGTTATGGCTTCTCCACTGCTTATGAAATAAAACCCAAATCCAACAATAACCTTCAGGGGTCTGCCATCTGGCCCAGATTGCCATTACAGCTTTACCTCACTCTAGAAGGGCAGCTTCTATGCTGAATTCCCTCTGCTTCTGTGGGTTTTTATTCCCAAATCTCCAGCCTCTAACTAGAATGCTCTTATGACTTTCTTTTTCTCCTGGGGGAAAAATTTTATTTATTCTGCAAATTTCAAATTATGCCTCCTCTATGAAGACTTTCTTGATGCTTCCATCAACATTATTTGCACTGGCCCCTGAGTTCCCAAAGCATGTTGCATATAACTTGGTTGACAATCACGCCATTGGCATGGTATTACAGTTAATTGTTTATCTGTAGACACCTACATGTGGCCAGCAACTCTGACTTACGTTCTCTCATCAAATCCTGACAGTGCTCAATGACCTGAGCAGGGTCTGACCATCATTTGCCTACAAAATGCCCATATGTTGCTCAGCTCACACAACTTTGGCCAATAATAGAACTGAATTCACATGTCATCCCAACTTCAAAATCTGGCATCACTGTAGTTCGCAGGGGCAGGTACTAAAGCCTTCCTATGTCTTTATCTCCCTCAGCACAAAACACCATGGAGGCCCTCAGAAAACATTAGAGGAAATAAAACATACTCTCTTGCTAATCATCCTGTAAAAGCTCCACGTGTCCCTTCAACGGCATCTCTGAAGACCGGAATCCCATTCTATGTTTCTTTTCTGTCCTCCGTGGACCCTAGCACCATGTCTGCTGTTTTGCCTTAAGAAGGCTTTAAGAGTCTGGTAAACATGCGCATTCTTTATAGAGCTGGAAGAACACTTAGACCGCCCCACCAATGGCACAACACTGGGTCAGAAGATAATAGCCTGCTTTGGGGGCCTTTCTGTCCCATCATTCAGTGAGATCTGTTGAGTGACTGTACATATACTTTCATGGAGAACACGGGTGAACATGCTGGAAAGGGGCAGGGCTCTGTCCCAGGCAGGAAGATGGAGCCCAGGTGTCTGCGGCTTCCAGGGGACTCCCAGCTAATCCCACCCAACTCTGCAGAGTCTGCACTTACATGAGCCTCTTAAAACCTTTTAAGACAGAACAGACATTGTACTGAAGGGTCAATGGTGAAGAGGCAGGAAAAACGCACAGTGCATGTCTGGGGATCCCTGTGGAGGAAAAAGAGCCAGCGTAGGTGGCACATACCTTTCAGCTTTTCGGCCAGCAGAGCGGCTTCGTGCTCCGAGTAGTGCATTATGGCGGGCGGGGACGGGGGCCGGAGCCGGTCCTCCTCCAGCTTGCGCCGGTGCCGCTCCTCCCGGGCACGCATCCTCTGCTTGCATTCCCACTCATAGAAGTCATCTCTGGCCTGGGCAAAGTCCACATGAAGGCGGCCTGAATCCTTTTTGTCGGTGCTAGACCCTAATCGCATCCTGTAACCTGAAACCAATGGAAAATCTGGTCACACCATAATGTCACAGTGGCCACACGTTTTTGGTCCAGACCTCCAAGGCACGCTTAGGCAAATGCTCACTTATGTCTTTGACGTCACTACGGATACATTTCCCATAGGAGATGGGAAACGACTATGCTTTTCCCCAGCAATCCTGAAGCTCTCCAAAGTTAGGGCTATTACAGGTTTGGGGATAAACACACCTTGGAGAGTTGTCTCAGAGGGATGCTTACCCATCTTCCAAACCAGTATCCCCAAGAGAGGATGATCCTAAGAACTAGAGGCTTATCATGGTCATTCCTTCTTCTCCCTGGCTTCTAGGAAGCTCAGAAACAAATTTGGCATGAAGCACTTTTTTTTCTCTACCTTTTTATGGCCTTTATTTTATTTTATTTTCAGTTTACTATAATTCTATTGTATAGGTGAAATATGAGTAAATACAGAGTATCTATGATATTTTAAAAGATCTACAAGGTGAACTCTGGAACACCTCACTCATGGGCTATTGCTACATTTCCCTAGAAAATGCTCCTGCTCAATTCTCTCAGCTGGCTGCAAAAGCCACAATTACCAAGGCAATTTTGCAATGCTGTTTTATTTCCACTTATCCTCTGAGGCACGCAGGAGAATATTTTACCTTCAATCAAGAGCCCTCACCGCTGCCTTCCTCACAGCCCTGCAGCACCTCATCTGGTATGCAGTACCACACAAATTGTTCTTGTAATCTTTTAAGGCCACAGGAGCCTGTGCAAAAGCCTAGAGCTAGACAAAGAAAAAAATGGGCCTGGAACTCTTTGGGGGATTCACTGTGAGCTACCCAACTTATATAAAGATTATGAGCAGAAACTTGATCTGAGAAATCAACACTAACAGAACTGAAACCAGCCAGCCGGCCTAACTTCAAATGAAGAAGAGTTGACTTTGAGGTTGCTCTTCAATTTGGGGTACTCGAATTTTCAGAACATAAATCCAGGTCCCAGCAGGAACACAGCTGCTGGAGGCTGCCGGAGGAGAGGGCAACATAAGCACTTTTCCAGGGTAGGGGCTTTGCAAATGAGATACAACTGTAACATGCTAGACTGCACTGTGCTGATGTTCAGTATCACACAGTAGATTTCAATGGATTATTTTAGCATTTTTGGGATAAAACTCAGCTGAAAATCTCTGTAGAGGCTGGCTTCTCCCCAGGAGGCCACTTCATACCTCTGAAGTTACAAATAAGATATAGATCTCACATCTGATTTCTGTGATGCCATGGGACCCTTCTCACTGCTAGATTTTCAAGCGTTATCTAAAAATGGGAAGACATAACAATACCAATCAAAAACCAAAACATCCGATCACAGATGCACAGAATTAATGCGAAAGCAAAGTGTATCTTGGTTATGGGCCAGGGAAACTTCATAAGTCAGCAAGCCACAGTGAGACTTGCATAACAGCTGAGCAAGCAGGACTGTTTAAACTGGCCAGCTATCCCAACTGGCCAAGTACCCTTCCCCTGCTAAGGTCCAGAAAATCAGTTTTCAAACATTTCTGGCTCCAGAAACACCCTAACTTTCACAGAAATGTCATCATTAAGGACTTAAAAGAGACCCTGATGAGGCTGCGTCTAAAATTAGCTAGGCCTTGAAATGTGAATGTGGTCCTAAAATTAGACAGGCCTTCCAGCTGGGCTTGGGCTTGCTGGAGCCCACACACGGGAGGGGCCGCCTGACTTCCTTCCTGCCTTTCCAGTTAATTGGCCTTGCAGATCTTCCTGGGACTGACGCTGCAGCCTCTCAAGGGCAGGGAGGCAGAGTTAGGAGGCTCCTCTGTACCCAGGCAGGGAGGCTGGAGGCCTAGCTGTCTTCTCCCACAGTAACGGGGCAGACCAAGCAGCAATCTGGGCTTTGCTGAAAGAAGTGGGACCAGCACCCAGGCTAGAAAATCCTAAGATCAAGGTATAATCAAGGAGTACTTTTCATACGCATAAATTTGGGACTGTACATCTTTGTCAGTGTCTTATGAGGTTTCTGATTGGGTCTGAACATTGTGTTGTATTAGTGTTGAAAAGAACCTTTGATTGACTCTAACCTCATTTAATCAAGTGGGGTAAAGAATACAGTTGACCTATGAACAACATGGGCTTAATCTGTGTAGGTCCGCTTGTAGGAGGATTGTTTCCAACCAAACATGCATCTAAAATACAGTATTTGAGGGACGTGAAACCCACATACATGGAGGGCTGACTTTTCATATACATGAGGGTCCTGCAGGATATACATGGGGCGGGGGCGGGGGTCCTGGAATCAATCCCCTGAGTGTACTGAGGGAAGACTGCAGTTTTATTGGTACAGTGGTGATTAGAAACCAGGTCCCCAAGACAGGGTTCTTGAGATAGAAAAATCAATCCTTCTTTATCGGGATCAGGATATTTGTGTTAAAAACAACCATTTCCTAAATGATTTTTATGTTGCAGGTGCCCTGCTAAGCACTTAATATCCATTATTTGATTTATTTCTCCTCACAATCCTACAAGGTCATACTGTTACTATCTTTATTTTGCAGATGAGAAAACGGAATCTCTAGGCCATGACCCAGTACCACAAAATCACCAGAACCCCCGTCGTCTAACAGCGGATTGTGCGTTATAAAATGTCTTCATTCTATGCTTTGTCTTCCTTCTCCATTTTGAAATGCTTTTCGTTTGTATTTTCTACTTTGTAAGGTTTTACTGAAATAAGGAGTTTTAAAGTTCTGCATATCACTGTCTATCTCAGGTAAGTCTCTGCAGTACTCTACCCTCAAGGCTTCTGGGGTTTGCACAGAATTTCATTGCAATAGAGGCAGACTGCAGAAATTAAGTAAAACCTGGGGGGAATCTTCAGATAGGTTCCCTGCTATTGTTTTCCCACCTTCACCCATTAACTTTGCCTCAGGAACAGGGAGGTGAAATGCAGAGGGACAGACTGAAAGATGGAGCTAGGGAGTGTGAGGGAAGGGCAGTTAATTCAGTCTAAAAGTATGTCCTTCCAAAGCCATCCCCGAATTCTTAGATTTGGAAAGGCCTTGTGGACAGACTCCATTCATTTGGCCCAGCACCCACAGATGGGGAAGGCAGCACTAGGCTGAATTTCAGTATCTGCAAAAATCACCTATAAAAATTGGCACCAAAGGACAAGGCTTAATGAACCACCAAAGAGGGAATGATACCAGGCCTTCTCCCAGGGCCCCCGAGCTACTTTCCCGCAAGGAACTGACCTTGCTTTGGTACCCTGGTGTCTAGAAAGTGAATTCATTTCCAAAAACCTGAAATTATTCTGAGAGAGTACTTTACTCCCCCAGAGGATTACATCCAACAATAATAATGATCCTTAGTACTCATAACGTTGCTTTTCATCTAATAAGCACTTGAGAACATTAATTAGAAACTCGATGGAATTCCTAAAGACTGGATGGTGGGAAATTGCTCTTGCACTGAGGTACCTTCACAGACTTAGCACAGAGCTTCTGGCAGCCAAGAAGCCAGGATTCTTCCTTTTCCAGCCCCAGACTATGAGGACTTTATTTTGCATTAAGGCCAAAGGGAATAAGCTCATATTAACATCACAAAACATAACAAAATGCCTAGAAAACTCCTTATGTAATGCAAAGTACCAGAAAGGTAAATGGCTTTATCAACCATGAATTCCTCTGCAAAGCGAATGTGACAAAAATTCTTCTTGCTTTTCCGAATCGCTGTAATATCACCGCACTGTTCAAAGACTTCTTGAATAATTTCTTCAGTAGCATTTTCTGGTAATCCTCCGACAAATACAGTCTTACACCCAGGAGGTCGTTCTCTTGTGGAAGGAGGTGGAAGATCTAATAATCACAACAAAACAGAGTTTTGTCTTTCATTTATTTACTCTCTCTTTCTGGTTTCCCCGGCAAAACGAAAGCTTGCAGAGTAACTGTCTCCAGACTGACTGACGGTAAATTTCTATACCAACTTACATTTAGCCCAGGCTGCCTTGTTTCTAAGTCACTCTCCCCTCCTGCTCCCAACCTCTACTTTCTGTGTTCAGTGCTACACAGAGTAGCTATATGCTTGTCCATGAACAAAGATAAAGCAAATGTCTGCATAATTTCCTTTCTCCTTTACACTACAGAAGCCCAGAAAAGGGAGGGAAAAAACTTCCCAAAGTACAAAACACGATGAAAGGACAACGTGATGAAAAACCTCAGCGTGTTATCTGCTTTGTCTCACTTCCAGATAAAGGAGCAGCAAAGCAGAATACGGCAAGCATAACCTAAAAAAGCACGCGCAATACCTACTCAGCTGTGAAACGCCCGGCCTCAAAAAACACTTTGTTATTATTCACATTTAAATGAGCAAACTATTAAATTTTGGGAAGGGTGTATAAAAAGATAAAATGTACACTCTTACAACATTTTACCTAGTTTATATGTAGATTACTAAAGCAATCTCCTGAAAAGTCCACTTAAAAAAGGCAACACTGATTAATGTGAAAAAAAAAAAAAAAGTCCTAGCTTTCTAAGCCCATAAACTTAGTATCTGAGGCAAAATTAAAAAATAAAATTCTGGCCCATTTACTTCATCAAATGTATGTTTCCTTCAAGCAAATGCAATTTGGTCCAGAAACTCCGAGATGCAGGCTTCCCTCTCCCCGCCCCTACATTGCTAGCTGTCAAATTAATTCAATTTTCCATCTAGCAAAACATATTTCAGAGTTTTTCTCCCACATTTGTGAAGATGGATGGAAGTGTTCACATATTTCACACTGTGTTCTCTAGCAAACACTAGACTTCACTGCATGCAAAAAGTCTTAACACCGGATGCACATCCCCAAATCCCACGTACTGGCTTTACAGTGTGGATGCAGCTTCTGGACAGACACGTGGCCACATCCCTGTGTATGTATTCTAATCGAGAGACAAAGGCCTTCTGTAGAATGTTCCCCATTCTGTGCATTTACGTGTGAGTAGCATCTGAAAATGACTGCAATGCCATTCTTAAATTTAAAAAGAAAAAAATTTTAAATGATGAGCAAATATTTCTCATAGGTGTTACTTACTTGGATTCTGAGGAAAAAGAGTACAGCTTTTGCAGTGGATTATTTCTTTGACAACAGCCACTTCTGTTGGTGGTGGGGGAGGTACCAGTCCAAGGCCTGGTATCATTGGGTTAATGGGGGTGATTCCAGTCATCATGTTGAGGCTTGGATCAAAGCCTGGGACACAGATTGAGTCTGTAAAGCATACAAGATAACATTTTGACTAGAGATTAAATCCATTTCTGTTGTTGTTTTTGCCATTTTCCTGTGAAGATGATTTGATTTTATGCTTTCTATTTTTCAGGAATTTCTCCTGGTATAAGATGCAGTATTATAGAAAGCTATACCAGAAGGGTAAAGAGAAAAAAAGGAAAAGATGAACCTTAAGCTACACGAAAAGGAAATTATATTACTTAAAATATTAACATGGCAGAAAGAACACAGCATATTAAAGTGTAAAAACCATGCACCATGAAGCTTCGCTATTACTGCGAATGCAATTTTCTGTTTCTTAACGTTGGTGTATTGTTTATACTGCCTTATGACCCAGAATACGGGAAGAATATCATTTAACATTGAAGTGCCCTGGGAATCTAATTGTCAACGTGGTTTCATCAAACGAGCCTTCTTACCCAAGCGACCTAGATTTAGAAAAGTTCAATTTATATGTGTATACTTTATAATGATGTATTCAGGTCCCACCTAACCTATTTCCCCCAGAATTAAAAAAAAAAAAAAAAAAAAAAAAAAAAGCAAAACAAAGTGATTACAGTTACTATGGCTGGGTTAGCTACATGCAGGTATAAAATTAGCTATATTCATTTCTGGATTCCATTGGATAATTGCACTTTCTTCCTACAATTTAGTCAACAAATAATTGACCTACCCTTTTGAAATCTTTATGCCCTGTATTAAAACACACACACACACACTTGAAAATAGAAAGTGTGCAAAATGAATGGATTTTCCAGCATAAACACTGACTTTTTTTTTTATCTGATAATGAAACAAGTGATTTCAAAGGTGACATAGAAACTAGTAAGCGAGACCCTTCTAACAGCAGGGACTATGAAAGTACTGTACTGAGTCGCTACAAGGGGATCCCGCTTATGAGGGTTTTCCCGTTGGCAAAAAACAGTCTCACGGGTGGTGTGCAAATGTTCCCAGGTAGACAGGAGAGATCATGGTGCTCTCCTCTCCCCGTGCAAGAATGAAACTTCCTTCTTGTCTCATACTCTCCTATCTTTTTCTCCCTCCTCACCTTACGTCACTTCCATTCTTCCTTCCTGCCCCCCTAGCCTCCCGCAGGCCCCTTTTGGTTCTTCTGTACAGCTTGTGCCTCAGGCCTCTGCATGGCCTCGCTCTTGCTTACCTGTGCTGGAAGGCTGAAGGAGATCAGAAGCAGAGGACAGGATAACCACACCCTTTGTTTACTAAGAAGCCATAGGATACAGAAGGTCTAGAAAAAGGTTTCTTTTCTGGAAAAAGGTTTACAGACCCTGCCAGCTACTTTGGACATTTCCACTCCTCCTCTGGGCTGAACAGAATAAACAGTGTGATTCTGATCTCTAACCCCAAGAGGACTGCTGTCCCATTTATTAAAAACTGCATTTAAGTTGACAGTATACTAGCCTGACTTCAGTAAAAGGAGGGTGTTTTGGTTGTTTTTTTTTTAAAAAAGAACCCTAAATATAAATGTCAAATAAGCATTTTCTTTCAAAGTAGTCACCCTGGCATTCTAGGTACTTCCTCTACAGCTATGGCTCTCGGTTTCTTCATCTGCATTATGGGACTGTTTGACTGGATTCTCTCTTGGAGTGCTAGCATTCCAAGACTCCAGGATTCCATGCTGATGGTGCTCGGAACAAACTGACATACAAAACACATAGAGGTTTACAAGTGGCAGGGATGACCCTGTTTATTCTCTCAACTGTCAGAAAGTTTCACAAGTATTATTTCCATTTTACAGAAAAGAAAGTAGGGTGGCAGAGTCATAATGAGGGCCCGGGTCTTTGTCTCGGTATTTAAACACGTATTAAATGTGACTATTTCAAAGTTTCCATCTAGAATGACCCAACCTGATTATTCACCTAATACAAGCCACTACTTCTTAAAATTTACTTTACCCTTAAAAAAATCAAGATGGGTCCTGATCCAGATGCTAATTCTAAAGGAAAAGTTCCAGAACAGAATGGTTTTCAACATCATCATTAAAATAACATATTGGCCTCCAAGGTGACCACATTAGAAAAAGAAATATTGGCAATGGGAATATTGGCATGCTTGTGCTTTTATTTAATCTCATCCCGTACATAGGCTTCATCTGTTTCTTTCCTGGCCTGGCCCTCGCTATTATTTGCCAACACGGGATGATTTAAGGCTGAAACCACTCAGGACTGCAAACCCTGAAATGAGAGCCCTGTGAATTATAATCAGCAGATGGTTCCCACAAATGAGAAGAGAAGCCCAGTGCTTGCCTTCTCTTTAGTTGTAACAGACTCCTGTGCTCTTTCTAAATAAATAAGTGTCCAGAAATGGGGACAGAAGATACCACTCTTGTAGAAAATATTTTAATATACAGCAAGAGTTACTTTGCTTTTTCTGAGACATCAGTGTGAGGAGACTACGAGGTTTAATGAAGTCTGCACGGCAAGTGCAGTTGCTTGAAAAGAGCTTAGAAAGGAATTAACACAAAAATTATGTTGGACCTCAAAGGATCGGAGATTCAGTATTTGAGAGGAGAAAGGAAGGAAGGATTAGAGTTTAAGAAAAAAAAAGAACCCATTACTTTTTGACAATATTTGTAAAGATGTAAATTGTTTTCTCAAACAGCACAGGAGAATAGGATGTACTCACTCATTAAAGCAAACGCACAGACTGACAATCCAGGAAGACACAAACACAGGAAGACAAAGGTGAGAAGGCAGCACAACCCTAAGAGTCAGCTCCAGGCCCTGTTAGGAAAAGCTGCCCTGCAAGCTTCAGAGATAATGAGGTATAATTCTACTCAGCGAATAAGAGGAGAACTGCTTAAATCACAGCAAGAAAGAATCCAATTAAGTGTACAGTAGAACTTTATTATCAAAACTGTACTGAAACGAGAGGAAGGAAGGGTTATTCATCTCGGACCGTGGCCCTGTCTGGCTCCTCTCTGTGTTGCCTGCTCCAAGCAGAGAGTGTCCATGGCCAGGGCTCAGCAAAGGTTTCTTTTTGGTTCTCTGTTCCCAAATGGATGAGACAAAAAAACAAAACAAAAATCCTGTTTACTGATTCACAGGCCAGTGTTTTATCAATTGGATGAGCATTTTTCAGAAGGCAGGTTGGGGCTTTGTGTTTAGGATTTTAGAGGCATGGCAGTTGAATTAATTAAAGCACTCATTCAGCTGAATTAAAGCGTTCATTCAGCATTTCCTGGGCACATACGACTGCCAGGATCCAGAGTTACAGAGGTGACAGTAGTAAGTTCCCCACTTGAGCCTGAGGAGAGGATAAAGGATGGGAACCAAACTCCGCAAAAGAGTTGGGACACACGAGCTGAGGCTCAGAGGACACAGACAGAGCCTGGTAGGCCTGGGGAATTCCAAACCATTTTTCATGGCTGTCTCATGGTGTGCATTTGGCAGTGTGGCCACGGTGTCTGAAGAGACTGCAGGAATCAGATCAGATCAGAGGGACCCTGCTATTCAAGCTGGTGAGTTTCAACTTTGCTCTTCCTGGAACTCAGCCCCTCCAAGTCAGATATGCACCCTGCCAGGCCAGGGCCTGGGTGCCTGGGCCGCCCTTCCTCACTCCTCCTCGTTGCTGCCCACGAGCCATGGCTTGCTCCTTTTCTACCCTTTCCAGTCAATGCTTCAGTTCAGAGTCTCGTATTTGAGATGAGAACTAGATTTCATTTGAAAGAAAGGTGGTGGAGGCCTTTTGCCCGGGAAGGCTAGGCATACTAACTAGGTTAGGTGTGGGCAGGGAAAACAGACAGAGAGAAGTTCTCAGTACCAGGAAAAAGTCCGGCCTGGAAGAAAACATGAGGCGGTAATCAGGCTAAATGACTGCATTACAGGTGTAGTCCTGGGCTGAGGGTATCCTGACAAAGTGGTTGAACACAGAGATTATTAGCAGCAGATAAAACACATGTCCAGCCAAGGCGGCTGCTCAGAGGACTCTGTCTATGGGTCACAGGGCATACACCCCCTGGTCCAGGGTTCAGATCCAGCCCAGGGGAACTAGAGTTTGCATCAACTCATGAAGTCACAGTTGAGAAATACTAGGCCAACTGGCAGGTTACTTAAGCCAGGATTCAGGTAGGAGAAGCAAGACAGGATCCAGACACCAGAATAGAAGCCTGGGGTTTGGGGAAGGAGATAGACCCCTCAGTTATCAAACATGGAACACAGGTAGCAGCCTGACCAGCATAAAGCCTGCTTGGATGCTGAGTCTTAGAATGCAGGGCTCCATAGCCCCCTTCCTTCCTCTTGCCTGATGCCAGATGGACCCTCAAGTCCAGGGAGAGGCTGAGTGTGTGGCGCCAGGTCCCAGGACTTACGCAGGGCAGAGAGACAGGCTAGAGGGCTCTAACAAACATGCAGTCACTCTGCTTCTTCTTCCAGAATTACTGGCTTAGAATTACTGACCTATCATCACTCTGCTGCAGAGAAGCCACGTGATACACGAGGACATTCTGTTTAGCCGGAGTTTCCAATGGAAAGACTTTTTCAGAATAGCCTGCTATTGCAATGGACAAGTCTTGCTGTTCTATAATATCATTACATTTGTGAACTATTAAGGTAATGCTTTTTTTTCATTCCATGTTTTCCTTTTTTCAAACATTCTTAAAAAACTGCTCTGTGCACAGCAGAGGAAAAGTGAACATTTTCGAAAAGGTGATCTGAAAGACAAGGGATCTGGCACAGCTGGATGACCTAAGGCTGACTGGCTTTTTAACCTCTCTGGGCTTCAGGGTCTTCATCAAGGGAAGGAGAACACGAATACCGGACAGACATACTGGTCTTCCCGGGCACCCAACAACATCTGGGTGATAGCAGTATATCAAAGTATGGAGACCCCCACTGCCTGCATGACTTTGGGAAATTTAATCTTTCTAAGCCTCATTTATAATATCTGTAAAATAAAGTGAATAATATTTACTTTTTAATGTTCTTGTGAGGATTAAATGGGATTAATAAAACAAAACCAAAGTG